CCCATTTTTTTTTTCATTCGTCTACTGCGTCTAATAAAAAGTATCCTCGATTTCGATTATTTCTTCACGCAATCTTACATCAGTTTCGTGTGTAGTTAATTCGAAGTGCTCGCGGGTTTTATTGCCGAAGTTCGACGTTAAATCGTTCTCAGCAACTAGTAATTTGTCCATTATTAATATTAATTTCTTGGCCCATATTTCATTTTTAATACTTCTTTGTCTTCCTGTTCGCGGGAACATTATTTAAATTAGTAGGGAAATTTTCGGCCTGTCCGCCCTATAATTTTCGACCGAAATGTTTGACGACATTTACGTTCTAATCTGGCAATGGGCAATTTCCTGGCTTTATGGGCCGTCACGAGTCGACGACGTATAACAAAAAAGAAATACTCTTCGCGATCGCAACCAATAATTAGTTGCATGTGGTTAAGTAAGCAGAAGCATCGGCACCGATCGACTTNTATATATATATACATATATAAAGAGAACCTTTTGTCTTATTATCTATACCTATTTCGCTTGAGCCGAACATTTACAGATATGCTGCTATTCACCGTTTGAACACTATTTTTTGTAAAACAAGTTGAGGGAACGGGAAATACTGTGCTTTTTCAATACTTTCCAAGAGGACCGTCCATACGCCATCGTTGCCTACATGCGTTTGTTCAAAAATGCACTAACAATAATAACAAAACATCAGTTTTCGTTATTATGCAAGAAAAAAAAAGAAGACAGTGCTCCTTTGTCTTCTTTGTTAAAGTGGAAACATGTGACTGTTGTTATAAGATTGCTCCATTGTTTTGTTTGTTAAGTTTATTTTAATTTATTATTAGTTTTCTTAAAAGCACTTCGTTGCTTCCGGTGTTATATAAACAGTATACTCCATTAATAAAATAAATTAACCATCTCTTCGGCAACATCGTCCATTAACAGTTGGCTAATTTATTATGTTTTAGCAAAAAACATTTCTTCTGTATTTTTTTATCTTATTTAAAACCGATCGAAATATTTGTCTACTTACATGACCTGATGATAAATATGTACAAGTTTCATTTGTTTCTAATAAGACCTACGATATTTTGTGAAGTGTATGTCGTATCAAAATTTAATTGTACCGTTTTCATGTTACGGTATTTTGGAGTGAGCCTTCGGATCGTTTGTCCTTCTTTTTATGCTGTATTTGGGAGTTGCATTGTTGAAAAACAATTGCTGCTGCAAGAGTTCAATTTATAAATAAACTTGTGCCGTGTTTTTTTGCGCTATCTTTGACACTAAATTACAATAAATAACACCGATAACCTTGCCATAATCTCGCCAGCTAATAATTCAACAGCAAACAAGTGCAAGAATGATTGTATTCAAGATATGATCCAGCAAACTACGATCAGAGGGGGGCTCGGGTTCTTTACACATATGTAAGAAGTAAGAATATAAATAATGCTCTGTTTTTATTGATAACAATGTTATTACAAAACAATCGAATCTCGCTCATACAATAGTGTAGAAACAAATGCGATAAAAACATGTTTTTTTTGTCAAATATTACATACGGTTTATTTATTATTATACAAAGTACCGAATGCCCTCTGAGATAAACCTTGTATTGTCTGAAAAATAATATTAATTTGATTTAGATTTGGATAATCTCTACTGTTATGACAATTTATTTCTTAATCCTTTATTGTGGGCGATAGTATTCTAGATAGATAATAATAATTGTGATTATTATCGCATTTTTTATGAAGTAATTTAATTCCAGAACGTCAGATATTTTGTTAATTTATGTATAATTCTGGTAATTTCTTAAATTCTGGTAAGAAAAATTAATGAAAATTATCTGGCAATTATTGCAATTGTTTTGGGAATTCTAGTAACATATTGAATTATCAAAGAAGGTAAATAACATAAATAAAGGTACTATTATCAAGAATTATAACGCTTGAACCATTTATAATTCTCCACCATCTATAATTCTCTACCAGATATTTCACAATAATCTCAGGAATTATGACAAAAATTAACAATGATGTCATGGTAATTATGGCAATTGTTTTGGGAATTCTGGTAACAGATTGAATTATCAAACTGTAAATAACATGAATATAGGTACCGTTTTCAAGAATTACAACGGTTGAACTATTTATAATTCTCTACCAGACATTCCACAGTAATCTCAAGAATTATGGTGTTTGTTTACTACCAAAAATTAAGAATTATGTCGTTGCAATTATGGCAATTGTTTTGGGAATTCTGGTAACATATTGAATTATCAAAGAATAAATAAAGGTAATATTATCAAGAATTATAACGGTTGAACTATTTATAATTCTCCACCATCTATAATTACCTACCAGATATTCCACAATAATCTCAGGAATTATGACAAAAGTTAACAATGATGTCATGGTAATTATGGCAATTGTTTTGGGAATTCTGGTAACAGATTGAATTATCAAACTGTAAATAACATGAATATAGGTACCGTTTTCAAGAATTACAACGGTTGAACTATTTATAATTCTCTACCAGACATTCCACAGTAATCTCAGGAATTATGGAATTTGTTTGCTAACAAAAATTAACAATGATGTCATGGCAATTGTTCTGGGAATTCTGGTAACATATTGAATTATCAAAGAATAAATTAGGAATTATAATGGTTGAACCATTTATAATTCCCCACCATCTATAATTCTCTACCAGACATTCCACATTAATCTCAGGAATTATGGAATTTGTTTGTTAACAAAAATTAACAACGATGTCATGGCAATTGTTTTGGGAATTCTGGTAACATATTGAATTATCAAAGAATAAATAAGGGTAATATTATCAAGAATTATAATAGTTGAACCATTTATAATTCCCCACCATCCATAATTCCCTACCAGACATTCCACAGTAATCTCAGGAATTATGGAATTTGTTTGCTCAAGATCATTCTTTATTATTTCATTACTGTAATTCCTTTACACCGTTTTATTGGACGGAATACTTTGGGCCACCATTGAAGCCGTGTTCATAACACTACTGGCCAACATCCAGCGCAATCTGGGCACGTCTTGAAATCCTGTTAGGCAAGTAAAATGTAAGTCATTGAAATCAAGGATAACCGCTTCAACTTTTGCCGGCCGAAGTCGTGGTTGTTGGGATGGCTTCCTTCCACAACTGCATGTACTTGTAAACGTATAATGGGCCTTTTTGAAAACAAAAATGACAAAACCCAGAAGTGGTATTTCGTGTACCCACATTTCATGGACGTAGTACCTACGATGTATAGAGAGACTTCTTGATGGATGATGGTGTGTAGCCATCGGCCAACAAACCAACCAACCAACCGACCAAACACGTGTTCGTCAAATATTTGTTTTAGCGAAAGCATATGGTTCTTTATTCGTTCTTAACAAACATGATTTTCTCTATCGTTGCAAATAAAGATATTGGACAACTAAAAGCCAAAAGATTAACACCGCGGATCTTCTTTAAATACGAAGGTGTCGCTTATTTTCGTAATAATTATTGACTGTGGTAGCAAATGATTAGTACCTAATTAATTTCAGATTTTGGTAACTTTCTTCAAACATTTATCTGACGATGAGACAAGTTTTTCTCATTTTAGACCTTGAAAATTATATTTTGATTAATACTTACGGTTCTCTTATTGGAGATCATATGGAATTTTTGGAATAGACAGAATGGATTAGGTTTATCGAGATTGGAAAGTATTTAAGTTCCAAGAGGTCTTTACTTCGTAGACCTTTAATATGAATAGAAAGGGAGCTTTTACTCCAAATGTGCCCCAACATTCTTTTGCTTACAATTCCAATTGTCGTAAAATAATCGAGATGTTAGGAAGAACAGCCAATCTTCCAGTATACTTTAGTTCTAATTATATGGTAGATATTTGTATCAAAATTTATATATGACTTCGTCGTTCTGGTGCATATACCTTTACATTCCAGTTGTTTAATTTGTTCGAGATTTCTAGCAGGTAAATCTTCTAGTTTTAGTACGATAATTTTGGTTCAGGTAAGGATCTGCTTTATTCTGGGGTTTTATTTGATTTGATTATTTAAGCAGTATGATTACACCTTTAAAACTTCAGACAATTGTCTGTGAGCTTTGTGGCAACTTGGTTGATCTTGTAGATTTGTAGATTAATTGTTTATTTTGATTGGAAATTCTGGCAGGTATCTAAATATTCCAGAAAATATTAAACTTGGTAGAAGTAAGGGCCTATTTTATCGTGTGTCTTTGTTTGATTTGATTATTGAAGGAATTATTAATCACAATTTCAAAACTTTAGATTTCGTTTGATAGATTCTATGTATACCTAGAATTCCAATTATCTATTTTGATTGGGAATTCTGGCAGCTATCTAAATCTTTCAGAAAATAGTAAATCTGGTTGAAGTAAAGGCGTTGCTTTGTTTGATTTGATCATTGATGCAATTATTAATCACAATTTCAAAACTTTAGACATTTGTTAATAAGCTTGAGGCAACTTGGTTAATACATAGAATTCCAGTTGTTTATTTTGATTGGGAATTCTGGTAAGAAAATTCTGTCAGGCTACAATACGTTAATTTTGGTTGAAATAAGGATCTAGCAAATTTTGCGACTTCGATTTGATTCTCTCTTTTAAGGGTAATTTCACGGTCATGTGAAGTGAAGTAACAATAAAATTGCACAGTTGCACCGTGCGGTGCGGCGGTGCGAGGCGGCGTGACGATGGCATCGTCCTGAGAGCGCGTCCGTCGTCGGCGTCTCGACGTTGTACGTCGTCGCGACGCGCGCTTTCAGGGCTACCGATAGTGAAACCGAACAGGCGCTTGCGTCGCTCGCGGAAAGTGAAAATTCCCCACTCACTGCCGCATACGCCACATCCATACACACAGGAACTTTAGCTCTCTCTCTCTCTCTCTCTATCTCAGTCTATTTCCTGGCTCATTCTCATGTAATCTCGTATCGTGCGGCCCGCCGCTGCAGCCACCGCCGGCTGCAGGAGCGCACTTCACCATCAGAAAATCCCTTCGATGCGTCCGTCGTCCCTACTCCACACAACGCGACGAGCACGCGGGCACCTTTCGCTTTCGATCCCCTCCAAGCACTTTCTCTGCCGGCAAACGCATCACCGTCGTCGCCTCGCCTAGAGCACGCAACACACGAACGAATCGCTCTAGTCAAAGCGCTCGGCTGCCGCATCAGTACATTTCCGAATTTCGATCGCGGCGCACGCGAAAAACAATACGTTCCCTTTATTATATCATACGATTATCGCCATACACACACATAATATATATATATAAATGTATTAAGTTGGTGTGCGTGAGAGCGGCTAAAGTTGAACGCACTGTATGTAGTAGTAGTGGTAGTGCTGTCGTCTCGGATCGTATACATGTAGTCCTGCTTGGTGTGCAGCGGATAGACGTTTCGACTACTGTAGTATTAGGTGGATAGTTTCGGAATCTGTCATCACGATTGTCACGACGAGATCGTTATTTCAAGAGGCCGCATTGATGGCTCCGCGCCGGCACCACGGCCAGGTTCAAGGTTTGCTGGTCGGGAGTATCGATCATCATCATCAGCAGCTGGAGCAGCTGTCGGGCCTAACGCGTTGCTGCGTCCCGTCCGGCGAGTGCCTGCGGGCCCAGCAGCAACAGGCCCTCTTGCACGGCGGCGGGAACAACAACAACGATCCCATGCTGATATCCCTCGACGACCTGAGGGATACGGTCCGCGTAACCTGTAACAATGAACATTGCACAGCCGGACGTTACATGCACCGGGAGTGCTTCGACTCGTGGGAACAGAGCGTCCTGGCCTACTTGAAGACGTGCGGCAGGGCCCGGTCCTGGTCCGAGAGACAGAGACACCAGAACCTGTGGACCAAGAAGGGCTACGATCTGGCGTACAAGGCGTGCGGCTGCAAGTGCGCGAGAGGACATTTAAAAAAAGATCTGGACTGGATGCCGCCTCCACCGACCAGTAACATCTTCGGACGCATCGAGGAGGTCGAGACGTCGAAGAAAAAGAAACGACGTAATCGTAACAATTCGCGTCCAAGTCTCACCATCGCGCCCCATCATTCCCCGAACGAAAGCCGGGGTCGCGCCGGAAGTCTGTCTTCCAGCACCGGATCCTCGTCTCCTCCGGCGAGCGTCAGTGAACCCAGCATCTCTCCCATCCATGCCAATTCCAAGAAGAAGTCCAAATTCGAGTTTTCCGAGAGGCCCCGGTGAGTTATCATTCGCTTTCTAGCTTTTGGGAGATGCTCCATGGATCCATGGAACTTCATCTTCCGGTTGAAACATTTTCGGCATTGACGTTCGTTCGACATTTTCAAACTGAAGCATTTTGTTAAAAAACATGAAAAGGTTTCATTACTTTTGTCTTTGACAGATCCTCCATGGATCCATTGCATCTCTCCTTATGATAACCTCCTGCTTGATACATTTTTTTGGACATTGACATTAGGCATTTTCAAATTGAAGCGTTTTCCAAAAATGCCCAAATTGAAGTTGAAGAGGGTTCACTGCGTTTACAGGTTTTTCTACAGATCCTCCAAGGATCCATTGCATTTCTCGTCATGATAACCTTCTGCTTGATACATTTTGGGCATTGAAATTATTAGGCATTTTCCAAAAATGTCCAAATTGAAGTTGAAGATATTTCGTTACTTTAACAGATTTTAGACACTCAATTGGTTAATTAACGGTTTTATGTTTTTAATCAGAGGAGTTAGCTAACAGCAACAGAATTTTGGTTTGTTGAAAACGCCACTTCTTATAATTTTCAATGGTTTTCATTATTCTTTAGGCTTCTAAAAGATATTCCACTGGTCCACTGGAGTTTTATTTCTTGTCTAATGCTTTAATGTCTCCCCAACTTAAACATTCTGGACATTGTGTCAATATTTTACGTATTCTGAAGGGAGACGTGCCTCCCAACACCGTGCAACTTTCAAAAATTTCAAAGAAGCATCCAAATTTTCAGTTGTCAAGAGATCTCGTTGGATTTTCAAAGGAAGATACTCCAACTTCACTCACGTAATATCGGATATCATATGATATTAAACAAGAAAATTAATAGTTTTTCAAAACAATGAGAATAAAAACAATATAAATTTGTAAGCATTTACATAGGTAGGGGAAGATGTTCAGTGAACATTGAAATTACATCCCTCATAAACTTGAAAATTGTGCTTATCGGACTTTATACTATTTTACCAATTATTTGAAGAGATAGCTGATGGTATTTGTACAAATTCTCCAATATCACATCGTATTTTTCAAAAGGTTAGTGTACAGAGGTATCCCATGATTAGGATTGTTTTTAACCACTTCGGTCTTTATCTTGTATATACATGGGCGGCGATTAGGCGTGGAGATTTACTTTTTTGATAAAATTCTTGTTCCAAAATATATCCTACTTTTTAAGATAACTATAATCAATTTTGAGACTGCAGTCCAAAAATTCTTAACAAGTTTTCCGTATTCAGACAGTACACAGTTATTAGCAACATAGTGTATTATCATTACATTTTTGTGTGAAAATGTATTGCTGTTTACACGAAATAATCTTAAATGTTTGACATTAATAAGTGATACTCAAAGCGTACATATTTTTATTATTTATTAGGCGAGATAATTTTTAAATAACATTTTTGATAAGCCCGCGTTGTTTTTTTACAACAAACAATATTTTCACTGGGTCGCTTTATTTTTAGCGTTGTCATCTGTTTGATTCGGTTAAAAATATGAAGATAGTGCAGAAACTGTACATCAACTGATTTTGCTTTTTGTTTTTTTTAAATTGACATTTGTTTGTGTCTTCTGTTGTTTCCTATCAATTCCACGGTAGTTAAGCATTAACAAACAAACAGTAGAAGAGAATCTTGCCATTGTAAATAGTGCGCTTTTAAATGACCATAACAAATACTATGAATCAAAACTGGATATGAAATGAGATCTATTATTAAATTTTTAAAAAATGCATTCTTTTGTCATGATCGTTGATAAATGAATAAATATGAACGTATCTATACACACATAAATGTATTGTAATTAGGTGTTTTTAATGATATGCTAATAAAATGTTTGGTAACCAAAAAAATGCTGTCATCATTTATAATCGTATATGGCATTCACTGTGTGCTGCAGCTGACCTTGGAAATTTATTATCAGCGTTTTTTTATCGTAATGGCAGATGTTAGTAAACAAAATTTCAGTCGGTGTAGGTACAGTACATTTTATCACTTAATCAATTTCTATTAATAATGTAATGCAATTAAAATACAAAGTATTAAATACTAATTTGTAAGTTACTTCGGGGCGCTTTTGTTAACAATATTAATTTAGCACAGTTTGTTGTTTAGGTCAGGTCTATCTTTATCTATTTCGTAGTGAAGGAGGTACATTTCGATAAGGACTTGAATTAATATAAGTACATATTATAATCACTAAAACATGATTTATAATATTATGCCTAAAAAGAAAGGGGTCAAGGTGGTCCGTTTCATTGTTGCTTTCGTTGATATTTGCGGATGAAAAGTAGTAAACAATATCATAATTATTAAATTCGAGGCAACGACATCGGAGAAATCACTTGCTTCCACTACCAGCAATGGTTATTTATTAAAAGACCACAAATGTGCTAATTTTCTAAATAAACATTGACGTTAAACATAACATGGTCTCAAAAAAAGGTATTTTGCTGTTGGCGTATGTCAACTAATGGGTGTTTTGGTCGTACCAGTACCATGCTATACAGAATCAGAAAACACCAAACAGATTATTGTTGACTGTTCCTTTTTTGGTCATAATTAATTAGCTGCTTGTCTGTTTATTCTTTAAACGTGTTCACGAGTGGGAGGCTTAATTGTTGCAAATCAGGTTTGCATGACTTTTGTTCGTCTGTTTGTTTTTAAATAGTACTACACATTACGTTACATCTGGTAACTATGTCCATATTACAAACAAATGAATATAATTTCTTTTTTTTTTTCTAAAAACATAAGAACGACTCGAAAAATGTTTTCTTTTATTCGTGATGCTGTTTTGTTGCTAGCATCAGTACATATTGACCGTCTTTTTTTTTTTTTTGTATGCTGTTACATAATCTGTCTGAAACTACTGTACAGATTATCCACCTATGTATAAATATACGTGTTACTGTATTTATTACACGTGTGCAAGATACAAACGCCTAAATAATATTGTTCGTCGTTAACCTTGTACATGTCATGAATTAAAACCGTTACCTAAAAAAAACGAAGACCGTATTAAAACCGGCTTAAGAATTAAACACCGTGTTTCAATTTGACAGAATTTTTACGCCTTATTCGGCATCAAATCAGGCCGTTAGCTATCAGGATTTTAAGTATCCTGCAGGACGAAAACAGTGAGGAACTCCTGTCGACGATAAAATGTTTGCAAACCTTAAAATAATAGTTTTAGAAATTCCCAAAAGTTGTAGTCTCACTACCATCATATACCACACACAGCAAAGGACTTTACATCCTGAGGATGTCGGCCATAACTGTTGATGAAACATAGATACAAACGAACAGTATGTTCATTTTGCTGCACCTGTATAATAACAACAATATTTAAGAAAAAAGCGTAGCAACCTTGTTTACGGTGTGTGAATTATTACTTCACCGTTTTGATTTAGTTAACTCCTCGACTATCTCACTCTTGATTCGTTTTGTTTACCTTTTCTATTATGAGTCAGAGGCATGCCAACAAAAACGCAACAGATCAGGCAATTTTAGAGGCACGTTCTGGGTTCGTATTAGCGTTATAGCGAGTGCTATTGCGTTTTTTCCTCCTATAATAACGATATTGTTTTCTTGCGAGACAAACCACCGCTGCTGCCTCTGAATAAATATTACAGAAGATTACACCCTTTCTGGATACTGAACAGTTACTAATTCTTATTGATCTTTTATATGTGCAGATACAGAATAAGTCTGCATTTAAAATTAACAACAAACGAACGTTAAAATGATCGAATCCAGAGAAACAGATGAATTCGTTCAAGTTGTTGTTTTAGTTTTTTGTTTTTGAACAAATGACTGCGGCACAATTTGTTCTTGATGATTGAATTAAAAATGCCAGGCGTTCTCTTGTTTTGTTTTTTGTTATTATTGTTGTTCGTTTGTCCGTTGGAGCCTTACGAAAGGCGATTGCTTGCTTGCCGTTAAGACTGAATTACGTTGCGAATCCGGAAGGTCAAGGTGAAAGAAGTTGTGACAGAGAGTGGCGAGAAAGAGCGGCGCTTGTTTCAACGACCGACGTCCGCAGTCCTGGTCGCTTAACATGCTATCGATTGTGCCCAGCCGGTCGCCAAAGGAAAAACTTTACCTCCTGACGCAGTTTTTCCGAGTTTATCATGAACACCATGTACAGTACTAGACGAAAAATGCGGCGATTTAGGTTAAAAATGCAATCACATTGTAGACTAGCATTTGTTCGTTTAGTTTCAGGAGCTCAGTGACGGTAGCAGGTCCTTTTCCAACATTTTTCAATTGTTTTTAATTTGGCTACTTTATCCGACCCAAAACTTTTGTTTTTAACCCTTTAATTTGTAGCGTTTTTCGTGGTACTCGTGAAAACTAAATTTGTTAACAGGCACTTATCGACCGGAAAGAAGCCTTTTACATGTTCGTCTTTATAAAAAGACTAAAGCAAAGCTAACATAGTGTTCGAAAGTTTATTAAATTAGATTTTATGACGGATTGTGGTTGAGGAAACCTTTTTGGACACGGGTGTCAATTTCTTTTTGCATTTTTCGGCAGTTAATTGTACTTTAGTCATTAAACGTTTAATAGTCACCTAACATTGTATTATGAGAAGAGATAGTCGCAACCATTGCGGTTACAGGACGAAAACGCTTGTTTTTTTTTTGTTGAATATGTGACGATGTATCTTTCCCCGTATCTATGTGTTTATTTTTATGTATGTTTGTACGTAGGTGTTTACATAATGTTTGCAGTGTCCTTGATCTTGTACAAAGAGATACTGTTTATAATTTCGTGTAATCTACACGTTTACTATAGGTTTTATCGTTATATAACATTCTAAATTTGACTATCATTTTTTTAACGAGCCAGTCACGTTTATTTTCGATTGTATGCGCGACATATTGTGTGCTTTCATATTTGTAATAATAGCGGAATTTTTAACAATATTTCTTTTTTTTATGTACGACGAACATTCTGAAATATTTTTACGA